GCGAGTCCTGCACTGTATCTGTGACACTGTATCTGGGGAGGGGGAGGGAAGAGCATTCGTAGTGGGAGGGGTACGGGAAGCTAGAAGTGGTCAAATATGTATAATATTTTATATAAACATAATAAGCTTAGTTCCCCTTCATAATCTTCAGGAATGGTACTTTAACACCATTAAGCAAAGAATTGTTTTAGGATTAAATAAATGTATTGTACATAAGGCCATACGTAATCTTCTAAAAATGTCGCCAGACAGGAGCGATGTGTATTACTTATATGAAAAAAAAAAAAGTCCTTAATGCACTGTTATCTCCTAAATATTTAGTAGTAAATTAATACTATTTAATTTTTTTAAAAATTTGTCTTGTGTAGACACTAAAAAGTATTACACAAAATCTGGACAGAACATGTCCTTTTTAACAGCAATTTAAAGAACTTTTTATATATGTAAGATAGTAACTTTTCAAATTGCTCTAGTTGTATTTTCCCATGTTTACTATTTGTGGAAGTGTGCCTGTCTCTATTCAGTTATATTTTTTCTAAATTTCATGCACGCATCTTTCATTTTTGTAGTTTTTCATTAGAAATGATTGTGTATGCGCCTCGTGCTGCCACAAAACTTTGCCGCTCTAGATCTGTGGTGGCCACATTCGGCAGTGCCCGTGCCAATGGGCCAGCAAAACCACAAAGCAAAATACTTGTTTGTCATTCTAGCGTTGAGAGTTTACTGCTTTTAAGTTGTCCTGATGTCACTCTTGAAATGACTGTTAAAACTAAACTATGAGTTCATTGCATTTGTTTTATATTCTTGGTTGTAATGAAATGGAATTGACTTTGCTTCAGTGTGAATTTTTTTAATAAAATAATATACATTTGTAATAATAATAAAAAGTTCAAATCAAATACATGTGCTGAAAAGTTTTTTGTAAAAGTTGGCTTTGGGCTACCAAGAGGGAAAATACAGCCCACAAAATTGCAGTTGTAATTATATTCAGGATGTTTATGATATCATACACCACACAAAACAAAGCTTGCAAAACCTCAGAGTTGAAATTTCAGCCTCTAAAATGCCCACGAGGATATTCAAGGGTATGTGTCTATCAAAATAGAACAAAGCCTTATGGAAAACAGAATTGATGGAGCGGTTCTCATAGGTTTTGCCCTCTGCTTGAGAGTATTCTGGCATGCCACACCAATGCCACTTGCTGAGATGCATTATTACTTGCGTGACAATCCTATAGACGTGTCTTCAGAAAAATCTGGTTTACTGCATTCTAAGGCTAAAGGCCCTCTTACTTTTCCTCCTGCTGGACCTTGGAGGATTTCAAGTATTTCAGGTGACAACATGGAAAGCGGGAGCCTAGAGCATATTGGTGGGTTTTCAAAGTGTGGGTTTGTGCGCTTTGCTAGTCTGTGTGTGTTTCTGTTCCATCTAACCGTTGTTTCACAGATTGACAGTTAACTTCTTCCAAAAGTCCCACTGGTCTTCTCCATAACAGCTGCACGGGTAAGAATGGTTGGGATTTACTTGCACTACCAGTCACATTAAGAAAGAAGCTTCGGTTTCTGATCTGCCTTTTGCACAGGGGTGCCAATACAAGTAGCCTTTTGCCAGAAAGCTCAGTCTGCATCTCTGACACCTCGTGGGTAAAGAGCTGTCGCTTCAGCCTCGACGCCACGGAGCATCCCCAGCTCTGTACCCCTCGTAGTTTCCTTTCTGCTTTCCTGTTTGTTGGTAAGATTGTGCTTGGTCAGCAGCTTTGACATGGATGTCCTTCTTAAAACCTATGTTGGCTCTGTCCCAGTCTTTGCTCTTCTGCAGCACCTCTCACTGTTTTTCCTACCTGGTCATGCAATTTACAGTCTAGTCCAGCCTTGTCATTCTGATCTGAATTACAATGTCATCTATTTTTCTGTCCTTGACAGCTGGACAAGTTACATTTCACAGCTGTTCAGGAAGTTGCAGAGTAGGTTGTTTATTAGTCTCTTGCTTTGACTTGTTGCGTCCTGCTTTGCGTTGCTGCCCTGGCTCTGCCATCTCTCTTGCATTGGATGTAAAGCCGCTCTCTTCACTTCCACATCACTGCCAAAGCCTGCTGTTACCCCATCCCTCTTACTCAAATCAAGACGTTATCTAAGTTACTTCGTAGTGTGATCGTCCCACCAGGTCAACCTCTACGCCCCCATTTTAGATTTCCAAATAAGCATTTTTATGCTCTGTTTCCAGTTGCCCATTGTTCCTGAAAAACTGCTGCATAAATTTCTGAGAAGTTCCCTCCTAGGTGTCTTCTGCATCCCTCATTAAAACCCTTTGGCTTTGATATCTACAGAAGTTTAGCATGTT